ACTCTTGCTTTCTATTTTGAATTTTTATTCAAACAAAAAATATTAGACTTACTATTATGCAGACTACTGCAATGCTGTAATAACTGTATAAATAACATCAACCCATTCATGACTGCATATTAGAATGGCTAGTTGGACATTTATTGGACAATGGCATCATTTGTTTACTTTTGAACATTGGCAAAAATCAAACATTTCCCCTACTTTGAGCTCCATTTCTAGGTTCTTTTTATAGTAAAATCAATCAAAAACACCTCTATTTCTGTAATATGTTTTCCATTCTATCAAATGAGACCATATATATAAATACTATACGAAAATAGACCACAAAGTCGGCATTTTAATTAAAAAAAAAAACGGTCCGAGTTTTTTTTTTCTCATGCACTGCGTGCTCCAGGATTTTTTTTATATGGTGCACACTGACCACACAGACCCTTTCTCTCACATGTGGGCCTACCAGCTTTCTCCTGCTTGATTTGAAGCCGCTAGAATTTATGAGTATATATACGTCAAACACGGCACCTCGTAAAACGTATATATACTGCCGCGACAGTCAAAGGGTTAAATAAAGTAATGCGCGTATGTGGAAATCGTCGATGTTGCCACCAACCGATCATTTTGGGTCAACTTCTCGGCACTGTATCTCAGTAAGTACTGATCAGAATTTTTTTTGTTTGTTTTATTACCTTCACAAAAATATACTCTTTAATTCTGAAAGAAAAAATAATTTTTTTTTTTCAAAATTTCTTGGACACTGGGGCACCAACTTCAGATTTTGGCCTTGGACTCTGAAAGGGTTAATGAATCTCAACATGGGTTTACAAAGGGGCGTTCCTGTCTTACGAATTTACTAACTTTTTTCTCTAAGGTATTTGAGGAGGTAGATCATGGTATTGAAAATGATACTGTGTATATGGATAGAGTTCCACATCAGAGACTATTAATCCTTAAACTGTCCAAACAGATGTACGTTCACATGCGTAGTGCTCCAAAAGTAGATCTACGTTTTTTTTTACATATTTTCAAATAGTATAACAAAAAAAAAAAAAATGTAGATCAAAGTTTTTTACACATTTTCAAATGTAATAAAAAAAAAAGAAGGTCTACGTTTTTTTACGTACTTTCAAATGTTGAAAAAACGTAGATCTATGTTTGGACAGTTTAAGGGTTAAGGAAACTTAAGGCACATGGAATAGGAGAAGTTTTTCCCCTTTGTAGAGGCATGGTTGACAAATAGGCAGCAGAGAGTTTGCATAAACGGGGCGAAATCAGAATGGGGGCATGTCACAAGCGGTGTTATACAGGGGTCAATGTTGGACCCCTTGTTGTTCCCAATTTAAATAAATGACATAGATGAGGGAATAAATATCGATATAAGAAAATTTGCTGATGACACCAAAATAAGCCATCCAATTCATTCTAATGAGGACATGAGAGCACTCCAGGTTGATTTGAATAGACTGATACAATGGTCAGAGAAGTGGCAGATGCAGTTTAATACAGTGGACCCCCGGCATACGATATTAATCCATTCCTGAGAGCTCATCGTATGCCGAAATTATCGTAAGGCGAATTAATTTTCCCCATAAGAAATAATGGAAATCAAATTAATCCATGCAAGACACCCAAAAGTATGAAAAAAAAAAATTTTACCACATGAAATATTAAGTTTAATGCACACAAACTGAAGAAGACATGCACAGTTAGTTGTACTCTACTAACAATATAATACATGACACTTACCTTTAATGAAGATCTGGTGATGATTGATGGGATGGGAGGAGGTGAGAGTGTCAAACTTATTGTTTAGAAGGGGAATCCCCTTCCATTAGGACTTGAGGTATCAAGTCCTTTTCTGGGGTTACTTCCCTTCTTTTAATGCCACTAGGACCAGCTTGAGAGTCACTACACCTCTGTCGCACAACATATTTGTCCATAGAGCTCAGTACCTCTCATTCCTTTATGATTTGTCTAAAGTGGTTCACAACATTGTCATTGTATTAGTCACCAGCACGGCTTGCAATAGCTGTGTGAGGGTGATTTTCATCCATAAAGGTTTGCACTTCAAGCCACTTTGCACACATTTCCTTAATCTCTTTTTTTCAATTCCATACTAATTCTCACCATTTTTACCACAGGGATGGCACTAGAAGCTTTTTTGGGGTGCATGGTGACTTATTTTGTAGTTGTAAGCACTAAAAACACTGGGATAATGTGAAATGTACTGAATGTATGCGTAGATGCAACCGCACTGGCTGGCTTGTGAGCACTGGTGCTGAGGCCACACGTGGGATGCTTCCCAGATGAATCGTGTGAGGCGAGGCAAAATTTTTGCGTTAAAATGTATCGTATGCCGGATTTAACGTAACGCGATGCCATCGTATGCCGGGGGTCCACTGTATAGACACATGCAAAGTTATAAATGTTGGAAAGGATAACAACCATGCCATATATAAACTAAATAATGTAGTTCGTAATATTACTGTTTGCAAAAAGGATTTAGGAGTTCTGGTTAGCAGTAACCTGAAACCAAGACAACAGTGCATAAGCGTTCACAATAAAGCTAACAGAATCCTTGGCTTCCTATCAAGAAGCATAAATAACAGAAATCCTCAGGTTGTTCTTCAACTCTATATATCCTTGGTTAGGCCTCATTTAGATTATGCTGCACAGTTCTGGTCACCGTATTACAGAGTGGATATAAAAGCACTGGAAAATGTACAGAAGAGGATGGCAAAGCTGATCCCATGTATCAGAAATCTTCCCTATGAGGATAGGCTGAGGGCCCTGAATCTGCACTCTCTAGAAAGGCATAGAATTAGGGGGATATGATTAAGGTGTAAAAATGGATAACAGGAATAAATAAAGGGGATGTAAATAGCGTGCTAAAAATATCTAGCCTAGACAGGACTCGCTGCAATGGTATTAAGCTGGAAAAATTCAGATTCAGGAAGGATATAGGAAAGCTCTGGCTTGGTAATGGAGTTGTGGATGAGTGGAACAAACTCCCGAATACCGTCAAAGAAGCTAAGACGTTGTGTAGTTTTAAAAACAAGTTAGATAAATACACGAGTCCTAGGTAGTAGGCTGGTAGACAGCAACCGCCCAGGGAGGTACTACCGTCCTGCCAAGTGAGTGTAAAACGAAAGCCTGTAATTGTTTTACATGATGGTAGGATTACTGGTGTCCTTTTTTCTGTCTCATAAACATGCAAAATTTCAGGTACGTCTTCCTACTTCTACTTACACTTAGGTCACACTACACATACATGTACAAGCATATATATACACACGCTCTGGGTTTTCTTCTATTTTCTTTCTAGTTCTTGTTCTTGTTTATTTCCTCTTTTCTCCAAGGGAACTGGAACAGAATTCTTCCTCCGTAAGCCATGCGTGTTGTAAGAGGCGACTAAAATGCCGGGAGCAAGGGGCTAGTAACCCCTTCTCCTGTATAAATTACTAAATTAAAAAGAGAAACTTTTGTTTTTCTTTTTGGGCCACAGTGCCTTGATGGGATACGGCCAGTTTGTTGAAAGAAAAGAAAGAAATACATGAGTGGTTGTGGGTGGGTGTGAGTTGGACCTGACTAGCTGGTGCTACTGGGTCAGAAGCCGTGCTCCTTCCTTAAGTGGAGGTGACCTGACTGGTTGGGCAATTGGTCTAAGCAGGGGACTGACTAACACGGACCTGCCCTGCATGGGCCAGTAGGCCTGCTGTAGTGTTCCTTCTTTCTTATGCTTATATGTTCTTTTGAGTGTAGATGGCATGTTAGGGTGTGTGGGCTGTGAAAACATGGGTAAGGTATGGGCTTGAAGCTGTGGGGGAGCAGTGTGAGTGAAAGGTGTGCTTGTCAGTGGCCTGGTGTGGGTGGTGATTGGATAATGGGTGACTGGGTGGGCGATTACGCAGCTGGTGGTAATGAACATGGTGGGTAACTAAGTGATTGTGGCCATGAGGGGAACTGTTGTATGGGTGGATTGTGTGGGGGTAGGTTGTTGATTGGGATGGTGTGGGTGAAGGCATGTGGCTGTGGGGGAATTGTGTGAGTGGAGGTTGCTGGTTGAAATGGTGTGTGAAGGTGTGGCTGTGTAGGAATTATAGGAGCAGGAGGTTTGGGTGGGAGAAGCAGGAATGAGTTAAGAGGCATGGTATGGGTGAAGGCATGTGGCCACAGGAAATTTATAGGGGCAGGTGGTATGGGTGGGGTTGATGCTGGGTGTAAAGCAAGGGTGTAACCATGAAAGGGAGAGGGGTTGAATGAGTAGGTAGTGTGGGCAGAGATGTGTGGCTGAGGTATGGCACTAGGTCACTGAATGAGCATCAATGTAGCCCAAGGTTAGGTATTAGATGTGTATGAACATAGCCTCACGAGTCTCACTGCCAGACAGTGCAGGCACCCATTTTCCATCATGTCAGTTTCTTTATCTATGAATGTTTGTCTGAGATTTTTATGATACGTAGCATGTTATATAATTCCGAAAAATATGTGATACCCAAATTAAGGAAACTGTAAAAAATAGCATGAATATACATGTACTTTATTCATCATGGTGTTAGAAGCACTTCCATGCCTCTTTGTAGCGATGTCAAAGGACGATTTTAATATGCAACGGACCCTCATATTACACGGATTTATTTGGCATGTTTTGGTTACTACACTAATGAAAAATTGCGGCAAAATTTTATACAACACTTCGTAAAATTAACTTAACATGGTTCGGTTTGTGGGAGGGGAAAAAATTGAAGCATCGCTCGTGGGATGTTTCCCTAGCTCAGGATGTGGATGAGACCACTGTCTCTGTGGGGCTGTACCAACCCTCAAGGCAGCAAAGGATCGCTTCACCTTGCTCCTTTGTGGTAATGCATCAGGTGATTTTAAGTGAAAGCCCATGGTTATTTACTGCTCTAAGAATAGAGAAATGTTCTGCACAAACTGGTGTATAATTTAGGTGTTTATTACAAAGGTTTATACCATAATTTTGGTGTGCTTAATCAACTTACGCTGCTCTGTACTCTTGGTATTGGTATCCCTGGTAATGGTGATACTGTTCGTAAGTGGTAAAGTTATGTTGCTGATATGCGTACTGAGTTGCTGCTCTCTGTTCTGGGTAGAACGAAGCAGGCACAGTGGACGAATTGACAGAAGTTGAAGGGGTCTGGACGACACTAGAGCTTGCCTTTGTGTTTTCCTCATACCTGCACAAGAATAACACAAAATTAACATACAAAGACATTTTTATGAGATAATAATAAAACAGATACTGCATAGATCCTGATGATGTGTTGTTGTGGAGGCTGATGAAGATATGTTGTTGTGGAGGTTGATGATGATGTGTTGTTGTGCAGGTTGATGATGATGTGTTGTTGTGGAGGTTGATGATGATGTGTTGTTGTGGAGGTTGATGATGATGTGTTGTTGTGGAGGTTGATGATGATGTGTTGTTGTGGAGATTGATGATGATGTGTTTTTTGTGGAGGTGATGATGATGTGTTGTTGTGGAGGGTGATGATAATGTGTTGTTTGTGGAGGGTGATGATGGTGTGTTGCTGTGGAGGTTGATGATGGTGTGTTGCTGTGGAGGTTGATGATGGTGTGTTGTTGTGGAAGGTGATGCTGATGTGTTGTTGTGGAGGTTGATGATGATGTGTTGTTGTGGAGGTTGATGATGATGTGTTGTTGTGGAGGTTGATGATGATGTGTTGTTGTGGAGGTTGATGATGTGTTGTTGTGGAGGGTGATGCTGGTGTGTTGTTGTGGAAGGTGATGATGGTGTGTTTGTTGTGAGGTGTGATGATGATGTGTTGTTGTGGAGGTTGATGATGGTGTGTTGCTGTGGAGGTTGATGATGGTGTGTTGTTGTGGAGGTTGATGATGATGGTGTTGTTGTGGAGGTTGATGATGATGTGTTGTTGTGGAGGGTGATGCTGGTGTGTTGTTGTAGAGGGTGATGATGGTGTGTTGTTGTGGAGGGTGATGATGGTGTGTTGTTTTGGAGGTTGATGATGGTGTGTTGTTGTGGAGGTGATGCTGGTGTGTTGTTGAGGGGGTGATGTTGGTGTTTTGTTGTGGAGGTTGATGATGGGTGTGTTGTTTTGGAGGTTGATGATGATGTGTTGTTGTGGAGGGTGATGATGGTGTGTTGTTGTGGAGGTGATGATGATGTGTTATTGTGGAGGTTGATGATGATGTGTTGTTGTGGAAGGTGATGATGGTGTGTTGTTGTGGAGGGTGATTGATGGTGTGTTGTTGTGGAGGTTGATGATGATGTGTTTTGTGGAGGTTGATGATGGTGTGTTGTTGTGGAGGTTGATGATGGTGTGTTGTTGTGGAGGTTGATGATGATGTGTTGTTGTGGAGGGCGATGATGATGTGTTGTTGTGGAGGTTGATGATGGTGTGTTGTTGTGGAGGTTGATGATGGTGTGTTGTTGTGGAGGGTGATGATGGTGTTTTTGTTTGTGGAGGGTGATGATGGTGTGTTGTTGTGGAGGGTTTATGATGATGTGTTGTTGTGGAGGTTGATGATGTGTGTTGTTGTGGAGGTTGATGATGGTGTGTTGTTGTGGAGGGTGATGATGTGTGTTGTTGTGGAGGGTGATGATGGTGTGTTGTTGTGGAGGTGATGATGTGTGTTGTTGTGGAGGTGATGATGATGTGTTGTTGTGGAGGTTGATGATGGTGTGTTGTTGTGGAGGGTGATGATGGTGTGTTGTTGTGGAGGTTAATGATGGGAGTGTTGTTGTGGAGGGTGATGATGGTGTGTTGTTGTGGAGGTTTATGATAGGTGTTGTTGTGGAAGGTGATGATGATGTGTTGTTGTGGAGGGTGATGATGGTGTGTTGTTGTGGAGGGTGATGATGGTGTGTTGTTGTGGAGGGTGATGATGGTGTTTGTTGTGGAGGGTGATGATGATGTGTTGTTTGGAGGGTGATGATGGTGTGTTGTTGTGGAGGTGATGATGGTGTGTTGTTTGTGGAGGGTGATGATGGTGAGTTGTTGTGGAGGGTGATGCTGGTGTGTTGCTGTGGAAGGTTGATGATGATGTGTTGTTGTGGAGGGTGATGATGGTGTGTTGCTGTTGGAAGGTGATGCTGGTGTGTTGTTGTGGAGGTTGATGATGTGTTTTTTGTGGAGGTTGATGATGATGTGTTGTTGTGGAGGTTGATGATGATGTGTTGTTGTGGAAGGTGATGATGGTGTATTGTTGTGGAGGGCGATGCTGGTGTGTTGTTGTGGAGGTTTATGATGATGTGTTTTGTGGAGTTGATGATGATGTGTTGTTTTGGAGGTTGATGATGATGTGTTGTTGTGGAGGGTTGATGATGATGTGTTGTTGTGGAAGGTGGGTGATGATGTGTTGTTGTGGAGGGTGATGATGGTGTGTTGTTGTGGAGGGTGATGATGGTGTGTTGTTGTGGAGGGTGATGATGGTGTGTTGTTGTGGAGGGTGATGATGGTGTGTTGCTGTGGAGGTTGATGATGATGTGTTGTTGTGGAGGGTGATGCTGGTGTGTTGTTGTGGAGGTTGATGATGGATGTTTTGTTGTGGAAGGTGATGATGGTGTGTTGTTGTAGAGGGTGATGATGGTGTGTTGTTGTGGAGGGTGATGATGGATGTGTTGGGTGTGAGAGGTGTGATGTGGTGTTTGTTGTGGAGGTTGATGGTGTGTGTTGTTGTGGAGGTGTGATGATGGTGTGTTGTGTGGAGGTTGATGATGGTGTGTTGTTGTGGAGTGTGATGCTGGTGTGTTGTTGTGGAGGTTGATGGTGTGTTGTTGTGGAGGGTGATGCTGGTGTGTTGTTGTGGAGGTTGATGATGGTGAGTTGTTGTGGAGGGTAATGATGGTGTGTTGTTGTGGAAGGTGATGATCTGTGTTGTTGTGGAGGTTGATGATGGTGAGTTGTTGTGGAGGGTGATGGTGATGTGTTGTTGTGGAAGTGATGATGGTGAGTTGTTGTGGAGGGTGATGATGGTGAGTTGTTGTGGAGGGTGATGATGGTGTAGTTGTTGTGGAGGGTGATGATGGTGTGTTGTTGTAGGGAGGGTGTTGATGATGGTGTGTTGTTGTGGAGGGTGATGATGGTGGGTTGTTGTGGAGGGTGATGATGGTGAGTTGTTGTGGAGGTGATGATGGAGATGTGTTGTGGAGGGTGATGATGGAGAATTGTTGTGGAGGTTGATGATGGAGAGTGTTGTGGAGGGTGATGATGGAGATGTTGTGGAGGTGATGATGGCGAGTTGTTGTGGAGGGTGATGTTGGGTGTGTTGTGGAGGGTGATGATGGTGTTGTTGTTGTGGAGGGTGATGATGGTGTGTTGTTGTGGAGGGTGATGATGGTGTGTTGTTGTGGAGGGTGATGATGGTGTGTTGTTGTGGAGGGTGATGATGGTGAGTTGTTGTGGATGATGATGATGATGGCGTGTGGTTGTGGAGGATGATGAAGGTGAATTAGTCGTGGAGGGTGAAAGATAGTGTGTTGTTGTGGAGGGTGGATGATGTTTAAATGTCATGGTGATGATGGTTGAATTGTCATGGATGGTGATGATGGTGTGTTGTTGTGGAGGGTGATGAAGGTGATTGTCGTGGAAGGTGATGATGGTGTGTTGTTGTGGAGGGTGATGATGGTGTGTTGTTGTGGAGGTGATGGATGGTTTGTGGAGGGTGGTGGTTGTGTGGTAGTGTTGTGGGTGGGTGGGGGAGTGGTAGTGTTGTGTGGAGGTGTGTGGTGTGGTAGTGTTGTGTGGATGGGTGGTGGTGGGTAGTGTTGTGTGGAGGGTGTGGTGGGTAGTGTTGTGTGGGGGGTGGTGGTGGTGATAGTGTTGTGTGGAGGTGGTGGTGGTAGTTGTTGTTGTGGAGGGTGGTGGTGGGTAGTGTTGTGTGGAGGGGTGGTGGGTGGAGTGTGTTGTGGAGGGTGGTGGTGGGGAGTGTTGTGTGGAGGGTGGTGGTGGGTAGTGTTGTGTGGAGGGTGGTGGTGGTAGTGTTGTGTGGAGGGTGGTGGTGGGTAGTGTTGTGTGGAGGGTGGTGGTGGGTAGTGTTGTGTGGAGGGTGGTGGTGGGGTAAGTGGTTGTGTGGAGGGTGGTGTGGGTAGTGTTGTGTGGAGTGGTGGTGGTATGTGGAGAGTGATGTGGTGGTTGGTGTGTGGAGGGTGGTGGTGTGTGGAGGGTGGTGGTGTGTTGTGGAGGGTGGTAGTGTGTGGAGGGTGGTAGTGTGTGGAGGGTATGATGGGTGTTTTGGTGTGGTGGAGGGTGGTGGTCGGTGGAGGGGTGGTGGTGGTGGGTGGTGGTGGTGGGTGGAGGGATGATGGTGGGGTGGAGGGTGATGGGTGGGTGATGGTGTGGAGGGTGTTGTTGGTGGAGGGATGGTGGTGGGTTGAGGGTTGTGGTGGGTGGAGGGTGGTGGTGGGTTTGGGGGAGGTGGTGGTGGGTGGGGGGTTTGGGGTGGAGTGGATGGTGTGTTGTGTGGAGGGTGTGAGGGTGGTGAGTGTGGGGTGGAGGGTGGTCGGTGGAGGTGTGGTGTGTGGAAGGTGGTGTGTGGAGGATGGTGATGGGTGGTGAGGGTGGTGGTGGGTGGTGTTGGAGGTGGTAAGTGGTGGGTGGTGTTGGAGGGTGGTAAGTGGGTTGTTTGGGGGTAGGTTGGTGGTAGGTGGTGGCTGGTGGTAGGTGGTGGAGGGTAAGGGTTGGTAGAGGGTGGTAGGTGGAGGGTGGTGAAACATTTCCTAACAACTGTCATGATAGTATTGGTGTTTGTTAGGTACTACACACGAATGCTACTCATCCTTATGGTCATCATGTATTGTATCAACAAAGTGATCATGCTGGCCCACTCAGAGGTACACACCACTCCTGCATTGAAACCATTTTATTAAGTTATAAACAACAAAAAATATGGGAACCTCAGCTTGAGAGAGTTGCATATTCAAGGAAATATGGCCTCTGAAACACAAAACGAGTTCAAAACCAAAATAAAATTGATTATGCAGATAATTATTTTATTACATAAGAATTACAATTTCACAAGCCATCTAGGAATGAATCCTTGGTTAACATGAGGATTTAATTGCACTCTGAATCTTTGTGTTTGGATATGCACTAAGCTACAGCTGGGATATGCACTTTACGTCAATCCAGGTCAGTAATGGGCTGATGAAAACACCCTAGGAAAACCCTGAATTCAATGTTCCCATGTAATACCTTCA